TTAGTGGTTTTCTTGCAGATGTTGTGGCACATGGACTCTGTGTACAAGTTGTAAGAGAATGCCACAGAGGCGTTGCGCGTTGCTCTCTCCCCCCCTGACAACAACAGCAACACCGGCCCAGGTGTGTGCGCGTGCCCCGGGGGGGAGCGCACTTCCCCGGGCCTCGCCGGGCCGGCCCCAGAGGGTGTCTTTGCGTTATTGTTGTTGTTGGTGGTGGTGTTGTTGCTGCTGCTGTTGTTGGTGGTGTTGGTTGTTGTTGTTGTTGTTGTTGGTGGTAGTGGTATTGTGTTGTTGGTGGTTGCTGTTGTTGTTCTTGTTGTTGCTGTTGTTGTTGATGTTGTTGAATGCGAAGTACTAGACAATTATTATTGTTGGACCCCTGGGCGCCCTGACGCTCTCGCCGAGACGCCGGCAATATTTTCATTGAAAATGAGGCTCACGCTCGAGTGGTTTGGGGGACCGCCAAAACCGGCCCCCCAACAACAACAACGTTCCCGTTCGAGCCTTCTCTTTTTTACTCATGGCTGGTGTTCTTTCTCGCCGCCGAAAGCCGCCGTCGTAACAAAACCAGCGCTCCCGCTCGAGACTTCCTCCCGTTCTACCTTGGACTGGCGCGCTAGTCTTTCTCTCATCGGCGTCGCCCCCAGCAAAAACAACGCTCCCACTCGAGGCGTCCTCCCTCTTTTTTGCTCAAGGCGGTGGTCCTCCTCGCCGCCGAAAACCGCCGCCCCTACAAAACCAGCGCTCCCGCCCGAGACCTCCTTCCGTTTTACGCTGGGCTGGCGCCAACTCTCTTTTGAATTGGAGCGCTCCCAGCAAGAACAGCGCTCCCGCTCGAGGGTTCCTACCTTTTTCCTGAAGGCGGTGCTGTTCCTCGCCGCCGACAGCCCCCGTCCCGACAAAACCACGGCTCCCGCTCGACGCTTCCTCCAGTCTTACTCAAGGCGGTGTTCCTCCTCGCCGCCGAAAACCGCCGCCCCGACAAAATCAGCGCTCCCGCCCGAGACTTCCTTTCGTTAAGAACAACGCTCCCGCTCAAGATTTCCTGTTTTTTCCTGGGGACGGTGCTGTTCCTCGCCGCCGACAGCCCCCGTCACGACAAAACCACGGCTCCCGCTCGATGCTTCTTCTTTTCTTACTCAAGGCGGTGTTCCTCCTCGCCGCCGAAAGCCGCCGTCCCAACAAAACCAGCGTTCCCGCTCGAGACTTCGTTTTGTTTTACGCTGGACTAGCGCCCTATGTTCAGCATTGGCGCCGCTCCCAGCAACAACAGCAGCCCTGCTCGAGACTTCCTCCCTTTCTATTCAGGGCCAGGTCCTTGCCTCACCGCCGACAGCCCCCATCCCCACCAAGGTCATCCTGTCGTTCGGTGTTTCCTCGTGCTTTACCCTTCGCTGGGGTTCCGCTGGCGGTCTCGCATCTGCGCAGCAAAGCGCGGGCATGTTTTTTCGAGGCGGGATGTGTTGAACTTCCTCGGAGGAGGTGCTTGCAAGACCCCATTGGGCGGGAGATCTGGGAATGGGAATAACGGACCCCGCGATAGAGCAAGAGTTTCCCATGATGTGTATGGTTATCATGATGGTCGCATGCTTCATGTGGAAACATCGCGCAAGAGGGTAACTTGATTGTTGTTGACGGTCCGCGGCCGCCCCGCCGCTTGCCGGGGCCCGGCCTGCAGGGAAGAAAGGTATACCCCCCAAAAGGGGTTCGACCAAAGACGAAGAGGGCGGGTATCGAGGGTTTGGGAAATACGCGTTATTGGGCACTCGAGCATATATCCTTAAATTTATTATTGCTGTTGTTGTTGTGGTTGTTGTTGTTGTTCGTGGTGTTGTTGCTTGTTGCTTGTTGCTTGTTGTTTGGAGTCGTCCCACCCACGACCCGCCCCGCGACCCACCCGCGACCCACCCCGCGACCCACCCTGCGACCCACCCGCGACCCACCCCGTGACCCACCCGCGTCCCACCCGCGTTGCGACCCACCCCGCGACCCACCCGCGACCCACCGCGCGACCCACCCGCGTCCCACCCGCGACCCACCCCGCGACCCGCCCGCGCCTCGCCCCGCGACCCACCCGCGACCCGCCCCGCGACCCACCCGCGACCCACCCCGCGACCCACCCGCGATCAACCAGCATCGCTTGCGCCTGCGGCGAGCTCGTTGCATACTTTACTAAAAAATGCGCATGTGGCGGGCTTCTTCAGAGCCTCGCAGACTGCTTGCGTCCCCGCCGCCCCCTCGCTCTTATTCGCGATTGCGGGGTGCTGCCTATGGTCGGCCGTTCGCGCTCAGTGCGCCAGGGCACACTGGAGCCTTATGGCAGGCGCCCTGCACCACATCGCTTGCACTACTGTTCGGGGTGTCACGCGCTCGCACCACTCTTTCCCGCCCAGGTGTTCGCCTTCAACCTGAGCGGCAACCTGCGCACCTCGGCCATGCAGGTCGACGAGTCAGGGAACGCGCGCTTCGCGGTGGAGGCGGAGCCTGGGACCGCAGGCCCAGCACTGGTGAAGCCGAGGGCCGCCGGCGGCAGCCGTCCGGTCGTGCCAGGTGACGCGGCAGTTCAGCAGAGCGACGACCTTCCGCAGGTGATCGCGCACGTGAAGCCAAATTCCTCTGGCCCCGCGCGCGCGACCCACGCGAAGCTCACGCCGAAGGTCGTGGTCGCTGAAGGAGGGCTGCAGGAGGGGCAGAGCAAGGCGATGACGCTGGAGGTCAGCGTCATTCCCCTCCAGCGGGGCCACGGGTATGCCTTCGGGGTCGAGGCGAAGCACAGCCAGGGCGCGGCCGGCAACCTCGGAGAGTGGAGCGCGCCGCTCTTCAGCAAACTCTGCACCTTTGAGGCGGCCCCTCATGGCGCGTCGGAGGCGCCGCCGGTGCTGCCGCCGTCCCCGCCTCTGTACGGTGGCGCTGGGAAATACGTTCTGCGCTTAGCTGCCCTGACACGGCCGTGTTGAACCCCGACACGCATCGCGTTCAAAACGGCTGGATTGAACCCGCTGCGTGTTGGGCTCGGCTCGTGCTGATTTTGCCAGACCTGCGTTGCTAACCTGCGGGTTGAGTGTCGTGCCCGCACGCTACGGGCTGCGTGCTGCGCACCGGGGCAGCTAAGGTCCTGCGACAGCAGGGCAAGTGCGTGTACGCCGACAGGCTGGAGGGGCCCGACGGCGACCTGTCGGCGAGCCACCTCCCTGAGCGCCGCCCGGCGGGAGACGACCTCCGGGAGAGCTGAGCGCCTGCGCCTGCGCTCTGGCGGGGGCACGGAGGGGCGCCGGGCCTCGGATGGCAGCAGACTGCACAGGCATCGGGATCTCGGAGGTGCGCGCGGCTGTCTCGGGTCTGCGCGTTGGCTCCCCCGGCGGCGCCTCGCGCGCCACCCCTATGGAGCGCTGCAGGCGCCAGGGTGGGGGGGCCCATCGGCGGCCCAAGGCATCCGCGCCGGGCTCCGAGAGGTCGCGTGCGTGCCGCTCGTCTGCTGCGCCGTGGCCCGCGCCCCTGCCCGCGTCCATGCCCCGCAGAGTTGGCTCCGCCTCCCCATGCCTCCCAAGTTCGAGTGGGAGATCGACCACAGTATTGATGTACCCCAGCATTGAAGTCCTCGTCGAATCGATCGACAAACATTTAGGGTGTTCGTAATTAGATCTACGGGCATGTTACGTTCTGTCGTTCATGGGCTCGGCGAAAGTTTGAATTCTGGGGCAGATCAAGTGTGTACCACCCCCTGGATGAAAAAGCCCAGATCGGCACTGCAGGCCCCCTTGCATCGTCGCTATCAGATGGGTCGGGAGCTTCGACCCTCGATTGTTCCTGGACCTTCGATTCTGGAGTATGGCCTCCGAGATGACCCCGCGACAGGCACGCGCGCCGAACAACGGAGAGGCACCGCAAGGCGCTGAGCACTGGAAGCAACAAGTTCTGTTCGGAATCGCCCTCGTCGAGAGAGGTATAAACATGACTTACAGAACGTCCAACGCAGAAGCGCAACTTTCAGGCAACATAAATGGGACCGGATTTTTTTGTGCGGAAGTCCTGAACGGAATCGCCCAAATCCGGTGGCCTCTGAAAATTTCCGCTCGTCTGAAAAGCGACCGGAAATGTTGTTTGTGGAAGTCTTGGGCGAGGTGCGGATGTCCGGTCGTCAGCCCATTTGGCGATCATGAAATTAAAGGGGGTGAGGATGCACCGGAAATTCTGCCATGGCGGCCTCTGCAACACTGCACCGGGGCCCCGGGGCCTAACGGGAACGGAACATCAAAGGTTCTTCCCCGATATCTGCGGTCCGGACTTCTTAATCCATGGGGTTGTAGTCGGTAGTCGATCCCCTACTGGACAAACGGGGTCCGAGCAGATGGGGTCGGGGGGCCGCCGCCGCATCGGCGCTGCGTCGGCGACGCGGCTCGACGGGCAGCCCGACCTGAGCCACGCCAACGCCGCCGAGGCATTCCCAGGGCCGCCGACGCTCGAAGAAGAAAAAACGCCCACCGTTCACGTGTACACATGGTTCATTTCTAATTCTTCGAGAGTTCCTTGATTTTTTGGGGGCCAAGGTCCTTTCATTTCTAAGTGTTCTACCCTGGGCCTCTTCCTGGCCACTAGAAGGGCCAGGAAAAATGAGAAACGAGCACAATTAGAAAAGAGCACGACGAGAAATTCGCGACGCGTATCTCACTTGTTTCTTCTTCTGGACGCATTGGCGATGCATCGACGCTGCCGCGACATCCCGCGACCCCATCCGCTCCGACCCCCCCCCTGGGAGGCCTGCCGGCCCCCTCCGCCGCTGCCTGCCGAGCCCCCCCCGCCGAGCGGCCGAGGCGAGGCGAGGCGAGGCAGCGAAGAGGCCGCGGCGCTTTGCGAGCCCCCCGCGGCGAAGCCGCGGGGGGCTGCGCCGCGCGCGGCTGCCGGGAGGCGGCGCCTCGGGGTTCTGGCGCCCCTTATCTCGCCAGCACGTAAGAGTGACCTTTCGCCGGAGTGACCTTTGGTGCGGGCTCATCGGGCTCCCCCTTATCGCCGAGCGCGATGCGATCTAAGCGGCCCGCGCCCTCCGGTTTGGCTCCCTTGCGCCCTCAAAAGTTGCGCACCAAAGGTCACTCTTACCCATGGTCACTCTTACGCATAGCCGATTATCGGGGGCGGCAAAGAGGGGGGTGATGATTAAGGGGGGGGGTATCATGGCTAGGGCCATGACATTTCTTCAGATTTCACGGCGCCTCTTCTTATCTCCATTGCGTCCCTGGCTCCCCTCCTGGGCCGCGCACATGCCGCCGGCCATGATTTGCGCCCCCCCCCTCTTGGACGCCACCCTCTTGGCCGGCCCCGACCTTAGTGTGGCGGGTGCGAAGCTCGCGCCCTCCCCTCTCCGCATGAAGGGAAGGGGTCCCTCGAGGAAGGAAGGGCCGCCACAGCATTCGGGGGTGGACAGACCTCCTGCCCTGTCACGTCGATTAGCGAATTGGCCGTTTTCGGTTCGCCAGAGGCCGTCTTTTGTGCGGCTCCAGCTCCGTCGGTTTCGGTCTTAGGCCGTTCTCACTAAAGGGAGGTTTACTGAAGGCCGGTTCGTCCACCGCCGAAATATAAGCTTTCCCAGCTCCGCGCGGTTTTCTGGGGTCTGCGCCGGTCCCCCCCCAGCGGCGCCTCCGGCGCCGCTCCGGCGCAGATCCGAGAAACCCGCGCGGAGCGCCAAAAGTGTATGTTTCGGCCGTTCCTTGTTCTTCTAATGATGAGAAAGGGGTCCTGTGGGAAGACGGGATTTGGGTCACCGAGCGCGCTCCACTACTCGCAACTGCCTACTCGCAAACGTCAGAAAAACACACGTTCGCCTCGATGTCAGATATCGTGAACCCCCTACGGCGGATCCAGGCCATTTGCGAGTAGTGGCTTTGCGAGTTGTGGAACGCGCTTGCCTACTGGGGGGAGACGAGTCCTGGAGCTCGTCCGCCGTTTTCCACATCGAGCCGCTTCCTTTCGATATGCTGCTCTCTTCTTGCCGCCGTCTTAGGTCGATTGGTCTGGGGGCCGCCGTGGTCTTGCTCCCAGAGCCCTCCCCGGGCCCCCGGGCCGTCGGGAAGCGACCCGGGACGAGCAGCTCGCCTTGTGGAAGGCCCCTGGGTCCAGGACCCGGTTCCTCTTGGGGCGTCGCCTGATGGGGGGGGGGGCGATAAATGGGATGGGGGGGCAGCGAGGGCTGCAGAAAAGGGGCCTTGGGCCCTGTACGTAGGGCACCTGAAGGGGCCCTTTAGGCCCCAGAGGGCCACATGGGGCCTTCAGGGCCAGAAAAAAATACCCTTCTCCCCCCCGCCCATTCGTCGCCCCCCCCCCCCCCCCCCATGAAGCGACGCGGAACTTCTGGGACCCACTTTCTTCGTGTCAGCTCGTCTTGGCGTCTTCTCCTCCCTCCTCCTCCTCCTACTCCTCCTCCTTCTCCTCCCCCTTCTCCTCTTCCTCCTCCTCCTCCTCCTCCTCCTCCTCCTCCTCCTCCTCTCCTCCTCCTCCTCGTCCTCTCCTCGTCCTCGTCCTCGTCCGCCTGCTCGTCCTCCTCCTCCTCCTCCTCCTCCTCCTCCTCCTCCTTCTCTTCCTCCTCCTCCCTCCTCTCGGACCCATGCCCGCCCTGCTCCCGCCTCTCGCCCGTGGGTCTTCCCGCAGGGCGCTCCTCCGTGCCCCACGCCCGCGCCGAACGCCACAGCGTAAGCTGCGAGGTGGCAGTGCGCCCCCCCAAAAAGCGGGAGGAGCAGGAGGAGGATGATGAGGAGGAGGAGGACGAGGAGGAGGAGCAGGAGGAGGAGGAGGAGGAGGAGCAGGAGGACGAGGAGCAGGAGGAGGAGGACGAGGAGGAGTAGGAGGGAGGAGGAGCAGGAGAAGGAGGAGGAGGACGAGGACGAGGAGGAGGAGGAGGAGAGGAGGAGCAGGAGGAGGAGGAGGAGGAGGAGGAGGAGGAGGAGGAGGAGGAGGGAGGAGGAGGACCAGTTTCCGACCAGTATCGGCGCACGTCTCCCCGGAGAGGGCCGGCGGGGCGTGTACCCAGGCTGCTTTTCCTTGTGGACGGCCTCGCGCGATGCTTGCACGCCGTGTCCGCACAGGAGCAGTTCCGTGATGCACGCGTGAGCTGGCCAGCTAGGCGACGTGAAGCCCATGTGGGTACGTTTGCAGTCGCTTCGCCCGCTCCGCCGACCCATGCTGTCTCATTTCTGGGGCGTTTGTCCGCGTGCTGGATGCCGTTCTGGATCTCTCGGGATGCCCCTCGGGAGCGTGTGGAAAGCGGAGAAAGCACGACGGCGCTGTCGGTATTTGGTCATCCATTGGCATTCGGCACACGAGTTCGACGGTGAAGAGCCGCTTCCATACCTCTCAGGATCTGGGGATGCCTCCGGCGAGCGTGTTGGAGATCTCCTGGGGGCCTCTTGGGTGCCTGTTGGGGGCTTATTGGAATCATCATCAGGCTTTGGTGTATGCTGGGGCTGTGCAGGCTTCTCAGGGCCCTCTTGGGTGCAGATAGGCTCCGAAGGCCACCTCGCTTTCCGGGTGTTTGACTTTTCTTGGGGTCGTTCAGGGGGGCCAATTGGGCTGTCGTGTGGCGCCTTCTGCGGGAGCCTTTGGGCCGCGGGGCGATCTAACGGGGCCTCTTGGGCCGTGCGGAGCCGTGGGAACACTGAAAAGCATCAACAATTTATCCGGGAAATCACTGAGTTCGCCAATTGGGGCCTTCTTCATGTCCTCTCGGGGCCCTCTTGAGGAGTCTTGGGACCTTCTTTCCTGGGCTGCCTTGAGGCCAAGTCGGGCCGTCCTGAGCCTGTCTTTGGCGGTCTTGGAGCGCTGTTGGCCCGAGCTCGTGGGGCATGCCGCCGATTTGGGGCTGCCTTGGAGTGCTCCTGGGCCGCGCCCAGGACCCAGACCCTCGACGTCGTGATTTGTGCCGCAACGTCGACCCCGAGAGGTCTGGGCCCCTTCCCCGGGACCGGTTCTTGCTCCTGGGTCGTTTTTGTGGACGGTCCCGGGGCCCGCTGAGGGCCCCGCAGGCCGAAAATGGCCGAACACATCCGTCGCGATGTTTCCCAAACGCGACGGGGTCTGGGGACGGAAGCTATCCGTTGCCAGTCCATGCCATCGGCTTGCCAGGACCTTGCCATGCTACGTTACTTCCAGGGGCCCCCAGGGGCCGCCCCGCGCGGGCGCATTGTTTTCCGACAGAGCCTCAGAATTTCTCACCGGAGATCTTAGCACGCCTTTCGTCCGATGGGCCGGCGAGTTCAACTTGGGTCTGACCACGGTGCCAATAATCCAACGATCTTCTTCCTCAGGTCTCCTACCGTGGCGAAGTAGCTTCTCTAGTTGTTGGCCTATGAGCATTTCCGCGTTTGCATCGTTGGTGCATGTTGTCCACGATTTGTTGGTACGTTTTGCTTGTCTGCGTTAACCTCGCTCGTGCCGGCCAGGCAAGCTGACACATGGCTGTGTGTACATGCACACGGCCTTGCATACGCATGTACGCGAAGCATCGTTCAGCAGTACACTTTCCAGCCTCAGCTGGGGCGGTGTCTCCGACGGCCAAGTCGGATCATTGCCGTCGACGCACATGGGTCAAGCAAGTGGCCGCCTGATGTTCGCCGACTGATCTTCGTGTACTCGTGGGGCGCAGGCCGAAATTTCGGTCGATACATAACACACACACACACTGGAAATGCTGCGGTCAGCGTTTCCCAGGAGGGAAAGAAACACACAGACACAATGAACCGTCGATTCCCAGCAAAAGATCGGAGCACATGAGAAGTGGGGGGGAGGAAGTCGAACACCCAGAAGCTATTGGAAAAGACTGGGGGATCCATGGGATCTGCGTGTAGTCATGTTGTGTATCCCTGGGCCCCTTTAGTGAAGAAGAAGAAGAAGGAGGAGGAGGAGGAGGAGGGGGAGGAGGAAGAGGAGGAAGAGGAGGAGGAGGAGAGGATGGCCCCCCCTGGAGGGTGCCCCCCCAAAAAAACCTCCCCGCGTGCGTCCCCGCTCCCTGCCGCGCAGAGCAGCGCCGACCTCGAGAGCTTTTCAGGCCCGCGCGCAGGCGGTCCTGTCTGCTTGACGTTCGGCCTACGTCGGGCCTGTCCCTCGACAGGAGGAGTGCTCAAGCATAGTACAACAAAGAGTAGTCTGGGGACTGTGGTAATAACATAGTAAAACATCATGAAACAACGAATAGTAAACAAAAACAAAGAATAGTAAAGCATAGTAAGACAACATTTGGTATGATTATTTTGGGGGTATGTTTGGAGTGTTTCGTAGTTGTTCGCCCATCATCCGCCTGCAGGGGGACATGCCCGACCTGACGGTGGGAACATGTTGGCATTCTCCGGGAGAGGCACTGGGCGTTCACTTGTCGTGGAAAGGGGGGGGATGAGTTGGTGCCGAGCAGGAGAATCGGATCCGCTGCCAGTGGTGTGTTATGTCAAGGGGCCTTCAGGTGAATTCGACCTCATGATGGATAATCTGGGAGACCGCGGCTACACCTGGTGTCGATTCTGCCAAATGCTGCAGCCTCCAAGAGCTAAGCACTGCCGCGATTGCGATGTTTGCACCCTGCGGATAGACCACCACTGCCCGTTTGTCAACAATTGCATCGGGCAGCGGAACTACGCCTACTTCTGCGGCTTCTTATTGTCAGCAGCGTGTCTTGGCATATCTGTGTTAGCGGGAGTGTTTCATTGGTCACAGTTGTCTGAAGATTCGCCGGATGATGGGGGAAGCATGACGAACGTCGTGGTGTTGTCCCTGCTCGGAAGGGCAGGGTTGTGTTGTGGTTGCCAAGCTATCGGGCGAGGGGAAGAGGGAGGACGAGGCCAGAAAAGAGACAGCAGCAGGAGCAGATAGAGCGTATGAAGGATATGTTCGAGTTTGAACCCAGGCTGAGCAGGCTGCCATGTGCACATGCTTCGGAGCAGATGCGCTCTGCGAGGTAAGGAGGGAGCGATGGACAAAGGACGTCTCTCACGTGGGAAGTCCTTCGTTCGGTTACCCAGGAGCA